AAATACTATGTTGCAAAAATATAAGAAATAAAAGCAGTACAGAAATAAAATATCTTCCTTGAATTTGACTAAATTGTTTTCCATGGTTCAAGGTTCTTACTATAGCTTTGGTAATAAGTTGATCATCAATATTATGTAGCATATACTATACATATACAGAAACTGAGCCAGAGACAATAACATTTTTAGTTAATAAAATCACATAGATGGTTCCTATATTTCTAAAATAAGTGGATCACAATGTAGCTCAGTATATTTGGTTAGTACATATTAATACATTGGCTAAAAGTCTGTGTTGTATTCAGGTGGGATCACTTCTTATTAGCTGGTCGTTGTTGTAATTGGACATTGTTCTGTCTATTTTAAAAATATTTTTAACATGAAGTGTTGGAAATGAGCACAAAACAGTGGACTCAATGGCTTAAACTATTTCCTTTTTAAAAAATTTTGCCATTTTTCTTTTATATAAGCTTAACTGCTTGGAAGTCCCATAATTGTAAATATACAAGGTATATTCTTTACAAAAACATAGAATTTTACCTCCGTAAACAGTTCAGAATATTTTAATCTTCATCATTGCTGTCATTTCAACATATTTCCATGTAATGACAGAAAAAAAGACAGTACATGCTTTTGAGTTAGGAAAATTTGAGGAAAAATCCAGCTCTATTTATTAGCGGTGTTGAACATGGGCACTCTATTCAAACTCTCAAAACCTCCATTCTCCATTGAGATAATGCCCTCTCCTACCTTCAGTATTGTCGTGAGAATTAAATGAATAAACATTGTAACATTCAGTAGTCATCGCAACCATATTTTCCAGAGGTTTTATTATATTATTTTTTGTATGAGGCACTTTGATTTTCTCTCAGTTGTGTTCAGGGGACTTCCTAATTTAGGCTTCCAACTTTTAATCTCAAATATAAAGGTAAATGAAGTAAAGAATTAAAGAATAAATGTGAAAATGTTGACATAAAGTCTAAAACAAAATTAGAAATTAGCT